ATAAACCTAAAAATCTATAATTTTTTTTTTTTGGTTTCACTTTAAACTTTTTTTTTACTTCAACAATAATCTGCCATGGGTCTTCTTTAAAATAAGACCAAACTTAACTCTGTGCTCCCAAGCTTCAAATTTGTATGCACTAGGTACAAAAAATGGTTTCTCTCAGGACCTTAAGGACAGAAATGTCCCCATTGAAACCCATTAAAACTGCTATTTTTAATAGCAGTTCCATTTAACTGTAAAATGATGCAATTTTTGTTAATAGGTTTTCATTCTGTTGGCAAGGCTTTCAAATTTGATGTCAGAGTGTGGTTTGTATGTGTGTCATAAAAAAAAAATTGTGCGTGTGTGTTCTTGTAAAATTTGAAAGAGAAACTCTACTGCAAATCACAAATCCAACCACTGTGTGCACCAGCGGAGTTTTGCTGGCATCTAATGGGAAAAATTTGGTACTGCGCCCAAACAAAATCTTACTGAAAGCTCATTTTATGAGATATCAACCTCAAATTTGGAACACAACTTGTTTAGATTTATGACTTTGATTTTCTAGGAGGTATACAGTTCAACATGTTTCATAAAATATATATTTTATATAAAATATCGTTCATAAATCATTTTCATAAACTTAAACCTCTATAACTTTTTTTTGTTTCACTTTTTAAAGTTTTTTTACTTCAACAATAATCTGCCATGGGTCTTCTTTAAAATGAGACCAAACTTAACTTAACTTAATTTTTATGACAGTTTTTTGACATGGACATTTTTGTCCACTATGGACCTATGTGTAACTTTTTTTAAGTGACGCACAAGGGTTAAATATCCAATGCATTTTTGATACTGTTTGTTTACTCTAGAATGAGAAAAACTAGACCAGTTTTGTTTTTTTGTTTTTTGCCTGCAAAAATGAATTTATGGCACCACGGTTGTCATATTATTGCTGATTTCAAAATATGTTTTTGAAACATGATCTTGACTATATGATGATCACTGAATGGACTGATTTGGCCTAAAGGGGCTTTCCCTTGTTCTTGTTGCTCACCTTTGACCTTTGACCCTCCAGGAGAGGACATTGGCTATGTGGCCAGTGAGATCACTATGAGTGATGAAGAACGGATGCAGCTGATGATGATGGTGAAAGAGAAGATGATCACAGTGGAGGAGGCGCTGGCACGGGTAAACACATCCCATTATCCCCGAACAGTAAAACAAATGAGCTTTCCTAGCTTACATTCATGTGTACTAACCTTACTTACCCAGACTTATGCCCCCTGCTCCTTCTTTGCTCCAAACGCACATACACACACTCACATACATTTAAATACATGCGTACTGACCCTGCATCTGAGAGCTGCAGTAGATTTCTTAGTGCAAATCATGATTTGTTGAGATGAAGGAGGGTGTTTGGTGTCTAATTTCTGACGTAGGGTTAGCTGGGATTGGTTGGATAGATTTCTTATGTCCTTTTTCACTATTTAGGTGTTTTGGGTGATTGTAGGTCTCTTTTTTTCCTCTGTCATTGTTTTTTGAGTACATGATAATGATTCATTATCATCTGATAATCAACCTAATGCATGATTGTAGAATGTGGCTTCCTTCTCTCCACAAGGCTGACATTGATTCCTTTAACCAACTGGGGTTTCTACATCCTTTAAAGTCTCTTCTGCTTCATTTTTTCCTCCTTTGGGCTGGTAGTTAATTTATCTCTGTTATGAGCAGTCTTGATTGACTGGATCTAAAATTTGAATCAATGCTAAGCCTTTGTGGATAGTTGACATCATACATGCTATAAGCATGCATGAACGTATCTGTCCTCTTGTGTTTATGTTTGAATGCAAATGTATTTTTTTTAATTAATGTTGCTTTACTTGTTCTGTGTTTTTCATCTTTATGTGCTATGTTTCTTTGTGTGTCCAAAGGCGTCATGCATTTATTTATTTTATTTTTTTATTTAAGATAGGATAGTCTAGTGGTGCATAGTGTAGCATGAAAATGGACCCAGGATCAACCAATGACCATTATGCATTTTTATTGTATAAAAAGAGCAGCTTTGTCGTTTTGTTCCAGTGGGAAAAAGTGGAAATTAGAGTGACATAAGGGTGGGTAGTAACTTTTTAACCTAAAAACTTAATTTTAACAATTAAAAACAAATACCTAATAAATTATTATAGAATATAATTATTCTATCAATGAGTATAGAATAAATAAAATATTTTTTTGATAAATAATATAATGTAATATAGTTTCTTATCTCCTATGCTCATTTATTTGATAAAAAATACAGTAATAACAGTAATATTGTGAAATATTATTACAATTTAAAATAACTATTTGTTATTTTAAAAATATTTTAAAATTTAATTTATTCCTGTGATGGCAAAGCTGAATTTTCAGCAGCCATTACTCCAGTTTTCAGTGTCACATGATCCTTCAGAAATCATTCTAACATTTTCTGGCATTCCGAAACCCACTTTTGAATGATAGTTTATATAAATACAGATAATTAATAAATAAATAAAAAAAACTCTTAGTTTAAATGGACATGGCGTTTCTGTGTGTCCTTGTGTCTGTCTTTTTAATGTATTTTGCTGGTGACTGGTGAAAGTTTTGTGTGTGTGTGTGTGTATGTAAGGTTGTATGGGGTGTTCTGACTCTATTTCTGTAACAAATAGGGTGTGTGAGTGTAAGGGCGAGGGTGCGGCTCTCTTTGACCTCTTGTTCTCCATAGTTAAAGGAATATGAGAGGAACAGACAGTTGAGCAGCAGTACAGACACAGCAGAGTGGACTGAAGGATCCAGTCCCACTGTTAACCTCTCCTCCGTCTGCAATGTAAGTACTATACTAAACCACCCAGACTGTAGACCTGATAGGACGTTTACAACATAACCTCATTCAGTCACATCAAAGTTTATTTTCCTCCTGCAGTAAGTGTTAGTAATGTCTCTCACTGTACTGACTGATGTCTTGTGTGTGTGTGTGTGTGTGTGTGTCTGGAGTTAAATCTCTGCAGACCACACTAGTGACATTGTGGTTTATAAACTCAGGCAGTGGCAGTTCTTACGTCAACCCAGTTCATCCCCTTCCCTGCTATAACCACTGTGAACACACTTTCATTTGTTAGAAACTTTAAGACTCATAAAGCTTAGGATGTTCTGTAGGTACCATACATTAAATGTGCACTCAGTATTTTTTTATTTTATTTTTTTTTAATGTTGATCGTCTTGGATTTACATGATACATAGTGGTGTGAGTATCATGCTTCAGTTTTTGATTTCACTGTAAAAATGTGCAAACAACAGTCAGCCATGAGTATTGTTAGGCTGGTCATATGATCTGAACGTGGCTTTTATTAGGTTACTGATATGACTAGAGTCTTCATATGTACATATGTTCATGTACATCATTTTTTAAAGTACTATTAATTTCTGTTGAGGTGAAACTTTTTAAATGAGTAATTTACTGAGTGCACCATAAATTCTAAATCAATACTAGCAGTGATCTGAAAGCTGATATGTCATGGGTGTTTGAATGGAGATGATAATGTTGTAATGCCTCAGCTGTAAAGAGCATCTGGCACTGGCAGCTCACTGTAAAACCTCTAGTGTTGATGTCATTTCTACTTGGCATGAGGAGCTGGCACACTAAACATCCCCTGGTGATGAGGTCATAATGTGCGTCTTAACTGAAGAGTGATATGTGGCCATTTCTGCCTCCTGGCCTTTGAAATCAGTTTGATATGTCACACTACTTTGGCTCTAGTTACCATTACAAGAGCATGCTTTGTGTAGACCGTGTATATGTGCCTGTGCACAGGGCCGTCCCAAGCATTGCATGAAGGGGTACTTGGTTAAAGCCTTGAAAGGTTTGGTAACAGTGGATTTAGTTTGCCCTCTTGGAGAAATAAGCTGCCAATACACAAATACACACATAGTTATCATGGAAACTTTGAGCAGCTTTCAGCCTCTGGAAGTAAACATACATCTCCTTTTCTAATGGTCAACAGCTAAGCTGTTTTTGCAATGCTTTTTGATGTTAACAAACCACAGCACAGCTTCACTCAGCGCTTAAAGCTACAGAATGACTCACTCTGGCCAGCAAAGCCTTGTGTCCGCTGAGAGGAGTCACTGCCAGTTCCTGCCGCAACGCTTTCTGTGCATCTTTATGTTGTTTGTGTGTGCAGTCAATGTCATTTTATGTCCAAAAGGATTAAATTTGAGGAAATTGAAGACCTTTTTTAACTGACTTACGATAATGGATTTGAAGAGAAAGATAAATACTGCTGTTGTGGGTGAAGAAATGTCCTTGGATATGTTTAACACCAAAATCAAAACCGTTGTGACACTTTATATATGTATATATATATATGTGTTTAGATTTTTTTACAGTACATTTTTACTCTTTAGAAATTCAAATATTCCACAATCCATTGATTTAAGATTTAATTTAATTCTGAAGAGTCCTTAAAAATGTTTTATTTTCATTCTGCAAAATATAATTTCTTGTAATTCTTTTATTTGGGTGAAATATGACTCGGACATTTGTTCGTGAGATTCTCCCTTTGTACTGTTTTACCCGTTATAGCAAAAGGAGAGGAAATGAGGTAAGCAAATCTTATTCATACAAAGACCCTGTATCTCTGAGCCCCTGAGGGTGTTTCTGAAACACACATTTCCTCCTGCCTGTCTCTGCCACACATCAGCATGTGCAAATTGAATCTCAGCATCTGAATGAGAAAATGGATCTCTGTAGGAATCTTGGCCCCTGGGTTGATGATCTCCTATTTATAAATGGAAATGGGTCAGCCCTAGTCTGCTAATGGTTAAACCGACGGGCACAACTCTCTGGGGATCCCACTGATCTGAGCTCAGTTTAACATTAGTCAGAACACTGAGAGCTTGCTGTGTGTCCACAGGGTTCCCCTGTCATGAAATCAGTGTCAGCTGCATTTAATATGTGACCCATCATGGCTCCACCGGAGTGAGCTGCTCTGGGATCAGTGTTAGTAGCCACTGTCACAGAGGATGTACTGTATCTCTATATGAATGGACTGCAACCAGACCAGCATTTCTTCTCTCTGGCCCACATTCCTTTTCTCCTCTGAAGACCATTAAGGATGTTCAGGGGTCATATGGCAGACCTCGCAATGTTTCCGGACACACAAGCTCATGCCTTTTGCCACAGTCCCTCCCCTGCCTCCAGATATTGCAGAGTTTCCTTCAAAAAACTGTTTACAGTTTGTATTCGTCTCGGCGTGAAATGGTGTTGCATTGGGATTTTTGCATGGGCTGCTAACATCTAACCTACAGGAAACTACTCCTGGTAGGAGCACAGCTGGACACATTTTTACACAGATTCTTGTTTTTGTGTTCTATTTCTCTCTTCTTTCTTTCATCCCTTACTCTTGTTTGAAATGTGATTTTTGTAAACTTGTTGGCAATGAGCTTTGAGCAGCCCTTATGTCCTTAATGAGATTGTCCAGACGTTATTTTCTTCATATGGATGCTTTTGATTATTATGTAAATGAGTTTTTCTGCTCTGTTTCTCGGAATACACTTTGAGCTGTTTGAGCCGTGTTATTGTGTGTCTGTCTGTATTTCTCGTCCGCCATCACAGTGACTCTTCTTCTTTTTAAATGATGGCCATTGTGGCCTTAAATGATAAGGAAATCAATGGTGAACAATTGAGATTTTGTGTGTGCATGTGGTTGAACTTCAGATTTCCAGTAACAGATCACATTCAATCTCAGTGATTTAGTGGAACACTTAAGTGTGTGGTGTGTTGGGATACACCGATATAATTGCCGATCATTGAAATTGGTCAAAACAGCTCAGTCGCTCCTGATGGTTTAAAAACAGTCTGTGGTTAGCACAGATTATTTCCTGTTAGTTAAAAAATAGCATGTCATCCCATAATGTGGTGTATGTTTGCAGTGAACAGAATGTTTTTGGAGTAGAATGACTCTTTTCAAAATTGCAATTTGCAAGTTTGGGGTTTTGGTAGAAGGGATTAAAGAGGTTTTGTCTTTGTGTATCAGAGGTTTCAGTATCATAAATGATGTGTTAACTGTGAGGTCAGGTTATGTTAGATGTTTGTTTGGGGGAGTGATCATAAATCATCTCAACAATATAGTCCCCATCTGAATTATTCATTTGGACTAAGAAAATGATTTATTCCACCACAAATGCTCACTCATACTCATCTGGTATGTTGAAAAACAAGACTTAAGTGTTTTTCCTGGACTCAAAATTTCATAACACATAACTCCATACTGCATACGTCATGTCCTTAATATCAAAAGCCCATCCTAAACATGTCATAATCTGTTCATACCAGATAAAGCCGTAATTTTCTGTTTGTTTTTTTGTTTTTTGTATGTCTATGTGAAAGAGATTTTATGTATTTTATGTTTATATGAAGTGATATAATACTGAAGTTGAGTTTTCTCTCTGTAGTCTGTGGAGCAGTCAGATGATGAGCAGGAGGACTCTGTGAAATTCAAGAGGCTTCACAAGCTGGTCAACTCGACTCGACGTGTTCGCAAGAAGCTCATCAAAGTGGATGACAGCAAAAGACATGGCTCAGAAGGTAGCTGGAAAAGACTATTGTTCATATGGCATTAACTCAAGTTTGTTTTTAGAATATTTTTTTAAATTGAAGTGTAACACTTATTTTAGTTTAATAACACTGTTAAATGTAATTTTTTAGCAAATATCAAAAATCTCAAAATATTAAAAAAATGTTCACAATATTATTGTATTTTTTATCAAATAAATGCAGCCTTAGTAAGCGTTGACATAAAAAGAATCTTACTGACATGAAATCTTTTTTATGATTTTATGACATTAAATGTTTTTGAATGGCATTTAGACAAAATAGTACAGAATTTTAATCTCAGTTATCAGCCAGAACATTTAATTAGTTAGCAGCTTTGTAGTATTGGCTAGAATTTTTATATTGTGCATCTCTAATTTAATCTTTTTTATTTGATATCAGTTCTTATCCATACCTTATTCCACTGCTATTAAATAATTCATGAGACAGTATTGCTTTGAATAGATATTTCAGTTTAGAGAAGTTTTTGTTTTGATCTTCCTTTTTCTGCAGATTTGCTCAGTCTGGATGCAGCTCCCTTATGTGATGACATTAACGCACTGTATGCTGAAATCCACAAGAAGCCGGCCCAGTGCACAGACTCCTCTTTGTCCTCTCTTGCCCAAGAGAAGCTCTCTCTGGATGGGGACACGGACAGTCTGACCACCTCGCCCTCCACCAGTAGCCTTGATGCCTGGAAACCTGCTCACAAGTTAGTGAAGACCCCCGGCGCACATCCCCACGGCCTGATCCGCCCACCGCGGAAGAGTAGTGCTGGATCCGGACTGGGTATAGTGGGGGGTAGTGGCTCCTCTTTCTCCGAATTGGAGGGTTTGGAAGACGACAATGCTAAAGACTCCCGTTCGACTACGGACGGAGAGATGCGGAAGGCCTTGTCATCTCTATCACACGGGGTAAGTACTGACAGCGTCTATGCTTTTTACGGACTCACTAGGCTCCGCCCAAAGCCGCACCCCCTTCTGGTGTCTTTAGATGACATTAACAACACCAAACGGCCACCCGTCTCCATGTGGCAGCGCAATAAGCCTGACCCAAACTACGCATACTCCACCAAGCACCTACTCTACCAGCGTTCCTGCAATGTTCAAAAAACCATCGCTCCCTCCTCCACCTTGCCCACTTCCCCTCCCACTCGTGAGCTTCCATTGGCCAGGGAGAAGGGGAAGAGCTGTGGGGGCGGAGTGGTGGGCAGCTGGCTGTTTCCACCGAGGCGTCTGAAGGGAAGGACGGTGGTTAGTGAGCTCAACATCACATACGTGGTGGAACGCAGCCTGTACGGCCACTTCAACTGGACCGGGCTGGTTAGGCCCGTAACGCTGAGCAAAGCAGACAGGCGATGGCTCCTGGAAGACGAAAGAGATGTGAACAGGAAGTGGGCATCCAGCATGGATCGCTGCACCAAGCGCGTGCTCTTACGCATCCAGCAGAAGTCTGTGAGTGTGCCGGAAGAGCAGATCTACAGTGCCCCCTGCTGCACTGGAGGAACAGGCTGCTGCAAAGCTGCAGAAGAGAATTGCAGTAGGGTACAATTTAGAGACAAACTGCTTGAGTTATATTTCATCTCTCTCTCTCTCTCTCTCTCTCTCTCTCTCTCTCTGGCATAAGGAGCAGGAGGCTCTGTACAGGGACGCTGTGAAATCTCCCAGCACGTCCCGTATCTCTCTAGGGAAGAAAGTCAAGTCTGTCAAAGAGACTATGAGGAAACGCATGTCCAAGAAATATGCTGGGTCTCTCTCTGAACAGGTACACACACAGATGCCCGTGTGCTTGCTTTTTATGTGCTATATAGCAGGTTTGTTCAGAGGTGAGACCCTGCCTTTACTCTAGAGGGAAGTAAGCACATGTGTGCCCTACTTTCTATGTTTCAAACTAGGGTCAAACATCTCTTTATGTAGCCTAGAGTTTGGATACAAGCTCAGTCCAATTAAACACACCCATATGCCCTGGCAGTGTTGAATACACACTCACTGCCTGTGTTCACATGCTGGTTAAAATCTGTTTGTCACTAATGATGCCTTAAAATGCTGTCTCTGTAAGCAGCTCACTAGGTTTTAGTTACAGTTGAGGCAGGAATTTACATCTATATGACATGTCTCATCTGTTTTAGCATGTTTAATGTAGATCTCTGGATATGTATGTGTGTTAGTCAGTGTTGAGCTCATCTGTGCAAAGAGAACTTCATGTGCCACCACGTCTGGCTCCCTGTATTCATATATTATGTTAGAGTGCCACCTAGTGGCAACTTAGTGTAATTACTTTGCTACACTAGAGGATGAATCTCACAGCAGTGCTGCAAGCGAGTGTCCTTTTTGTGGGCTTTATATTATATGCATCACATGCTGTCCATTTTATATATTTTTTTGTTTATAAATAATAATGCACTTTCAATTCTGTAATTTTTTCTTTAAATAGTCCAGTACAGATGGAATGCCCAGTTGTCCTCAGTCTCCTCAGCCAGACACAGACTCTCTAGAGAAGCCCAAACTCAAGGCAGGAGGGTCTGTAGAGAGTCTGCGCAGCTCCCTCAGTGGGCAGAGCTCCATGAGTAAGTGTTTGTGGTGTGTGTGTGTGTGTGTGTGTGCTTGTTTGTGAGCAAACAGAGCTATTGCTCATATTAGTCTTATCCTAACACTGTGTTAAAGCTGGCATGAAATGGAAATTCACAATATATACATGTTATTGATCTTAACAATGTGAACAGTTCAGCAATGTATACGTTTTTTTTTTTCCATTCGTTTTAGCCTTGACATTTTTTATCAAAATGTCATAAATCAGTCTTCCAGTGGAAACTATAGACTACTCTCTGGTGACATATGCTGAACTTCTCCAAGCATTTAGTCTGCATAAAACCCTCTTTCTTACAATCGACTGCAAGCTTGCATAAAGATCTTCCATCCAATCAATAAGTGATGAATAGATGAATCCCTGTCCTACTTTTTTTCCTGTTTCATTCATCTGTTTCATTCTGTTTTATATGTCACAATATGGAAGAAAAGATCTGTCACTACTTCAGTTTCATTGAATCATTGAATGTTTGTGCTACGGACATTAATGGTGCCTTAAATCACGTAGATGTTTTTTTCTGGCAATCTGATTAATGATTTTTGCCTGTTGAAAGAAACCAGTCCTTTTGTAATGATTATGCTGATCCTCTCACAGGTGGACAGACTGTGAGCACCACAGATTCATCAGCCAGCAACAGAGAGAGTGTGAGGAGTGAGGACGGTGACGATGAAGAACCTCCATACAGAGGCCCTTTCTGCGGCAGAGCTAGAGTTCACACTGACTTCACACCGAGTCCATATGATACAGACTCACTCAAACTTAAGGTACTGAATTTGTTAATCAAATTTGTTTACAATGACTTTGTTTAATACTACTTTTATTTTAAACTAAATTTTAGACCTTTACAACCCAGTGTGATTAAACATGAAATGGTCCAACTTATTATATGTTTACTTAGCAAATATTAATTTGAGTTGAAACCATTTTAATTAGGTGAGAAGGAAGATATGAGACATTAAAACTAGCATGGCTCTTTTTAATTCATTTAGCAAATTTGAAAATGTGTTTTAGATTAGTTTCTGGGTGTTTTTTTTAATTATTTTTCTTTCAATTATTTTTTTCTTTTTTTCTTATTTATTTAATAAGGACTTTGAATCTCATTAAATTTCTCTCTTTTTCTGTCAAGAGAGGAGATGTGATTGATATCATCAGTAAGCCGCCCATGGGCACATGGATGGGTCTGCTCAATAACAAGGTGGGCACGTTTAAGTTCATCTATGTGGATGTCCTGGCTGAAGAAGAGGAGAAGCCTAAACGAGTGGTTCGGAGGAGGAGGAAGGGCAGGCCGCCCAAACCCAGCTCAGTCGAGGAGCTTCTGGAGAGAATCAGCCTGAAGGTGAGACAGAGACCACACACACATTCACACGCAGAGCCATTTCTTGAGATATGTACGTGCTTTAAAATGTGACTGATATGTCTATAATCATCTATCATAAATCTGAGTGTGTGGCTCATCTTTAATCTTTACTGACAGAATGTAAGAGCAGGGTGGGGAGAGATGAGAAAATGAAAAAGTGGATGCTGGTGTGAAAAGATGGTCAGCTCTTGTTAAAGCAGATTAGCTATGAGAAAGTGGGACGAGGTCATTTCCCCATGCCAGTTAAAATTTTTATTTAAAGACAGAGACATACACACCCTTCAGACCTCCCACGAGCTCCTGCATTATTACATCTCTAAATAACATCACATTACAGACCTTACGGTTACACACAATAGACACCAAGGATGCATTTTAAGCCTCATTGTGTTGTTTTAGTGTGTTAATGGAATATAATGATAGTTGGCCATCACAAAAGAGTTTGAAGTCTGGAAACATTCCCACACATAAATCCAGCCGTAGATGAAGATGAGGGTGGAGTGGGGTATTTTTTAGCTGTAGGGGGGCCTACATAGTGCTGCTGCTCTACAGGGTGTGTAATCTGTGAACGTATGTGTATGTATTTTAGGAGCACATGCCTACGTTCCTGTTTAATGGGTATGAAGACCTGGATACATTTAAGCTACTAGAGGAAGAAGATCTGGATGAGCTCAACATCAAAGACCCCCAACACCGGGCCGTACTGATGACTGCTGTAGAACTACTGCAGGATTACGACAGTAAGTACACACATACACTGATGTCCAAAAGTTTGGTGTCGGTCGGATTTTTGAAAGATGATCACTTAGGCTGCATTTATTTGATTCAAAATACAGTAAAAACAGTAATGTTGTGAAATTTTATTACAATTTAACGTAACTTTTTTTCTGTTTTAATGTATTTTAACATGTAATTTATTCCTGTGATGCAAAGCTGAATTTTCAGCAGCCATTACTCCAGTCTTCAGTGTCACATTATCCTTCAGAAACCATTCTAATGTGCTGATTTGATCAAGAAATATTTCTTATTATCAATGTGAAAAACACTTGTACTACTTGATATTGTTTTGGAATTTGTAATACATTTTTCTTCTGAATTCTTTGATAAATGGAAAGTTCAAAAGAACATTTATTAGAAATAGAAATCTTTGTAACATTATATAATTATTTACCTATTTCGATCAATTTAATGCTTGCTTGCTGAATAAAAAAAAAAAACGTTCTGACCCAAACTTCTGAAAAAGTGTACACACATTGTCTAAATACACTATATACTAAATGTTCTAAACAGCGAATGTCTGTAATGCATGGAAATAGCCATCTGTTAGCATTAGCATCCATTAGCAATTGCAGTTATTCAGATTACTCGGGATCACCCCCACCAACTTTACACTTTTTTCCACTTGTTTATAAATGAATATTTAAGTGAATACATTTCCTAAGTTTGTGTGTGTGTGTGTTCTAGGTAGCAGTGATCCGGAGTGCAGCGCCCTTTCTGGCTCTCAGGAGAAACTCCTCTGTGAGGGCCGTGGCCTCATGGCCGACTCCCCACGGGACTCTGGTTGCTACGAAAGCAATGAAAACCTAGAGAATGGTAACCAGGCGCTTGTTTAGCATCTCCATACCAACCGCATCACCATGTCCAGCCTAGTGTAGCAACGCCATGACACCATCCTCTCACCTCTGGGCCACGCCTCTCTCTGCCATGACTCAGTGTCCTAACAGCCAATGAGAAGCTGTCATCACATCTGGATTTAACCCAAGCCTGTCTGTCTGTCACATCTGCTGTGCCCTGTTCTCTATCTGCTTCTCTGCTTCAAGAGGCACTCTGTCATCATTCCGTTTTTTTAACTTTCTTATCCAGCCTACCCAGACTCCTGCTTCTGCTTTCTTCCATTCTGTTAGAAATCACAAATCCAAAAGCTGCAGCAACTCTTGCTATTGCTAACTGATCAAAATTCATCTGCTGCCTCAGAAAAATCTAAAGAGAGACCGACAGAAACTCAGCGAAACAAATACAAGGCTTGTGTTCACAGCAGGACTTGATGATTTTGAGAATGTTCTCCATGGCAAAACCACCACAGACCCATTTCAGACTCAATTTAAAGTCTCTCCTCCTCTCTCCCTTTGCCATTTCAAGAAATATCACTCCATATTTGTGTGGTGTTTGTTGTTGTCATATTGCACAAATTCTTATGTGCCTAAAAAAGAAAAGACTTTATAAATACAAAATGGAGTTGATGAGTCACATACATTTGTAAGGTGATATTCTGCGTAGATTGTGTAAAAGTAGGAGCTAATCTACTATTTTAAAGGATTTTATCCAAGAGAAAGTATCGTATCTCATTCTGTATTTCCAAAGAAATTCAATGTTTAAGGTTTTCACTCTTCTGTTGTCTTCTTAACCTCCTACTGGCATCTTATAACACTGACTGATCCCTCCTCCTGTTGTGTATGACAGTGTATGAGTCTGTGTATGTGTGTGTGTGTGTGTGTGTGTGTGTGTGTGTGGAGTACGATTGTTTAGGACAGATCAGAAATTTGTGCAATCTGCCAAAGTGGAAAATAAAACCATCCTGTGATCTCTAGCATTCTGGTCTGCTTGCTTTTTTCATCTGTTTTCATCACTTGATATTATTTTATCTGTGCTGATAACTTTTCCATTTTTTTCTTGTGAGAGCGGCAGTACAGAGCTTATTATATTCTATATTAAAGCATGTGCTTCCTTGTCACCATTAGTTTTTTGAGTCATTGATTCTGTTAAAGTATATCTGATGTCCCAAGAAAAATACTTGAAATGCATCCATGAATGCTCCTTGCTTTCATTTCCAGATTCTTCATTTCTCAATCATGTCATTATCATTTATGATCTTTTTGTACATTTATCTTAAAGGTCCCTGCATATAAATACTAATCTTTTTGCTTCATTTTATTTATTACCTTTTGATGTGGAAAATTGGCAGAAAATGGTGCTTTCAAAATAAATATTTTCTGGATTTGTGGTTTTCTTCACTTAATGTCTTAACACTCACACTTAACGCTCACCCGAACTTTAACCCGAAACTAACTCTTAAATAATCCCTAACAATTCAATACAACTAATGCACATATCTAATTGAAATATGTAATGAACTACTGCCCAGTGACAAGCTGTTGTACACCTAAAAGTGCAGTTTTTTGCACTTTATTTCCTGACAGTTTTCATCACATTGTTTCAGACTGTAGTAGTTTGGTTTCACATATAATATTGTAGCTCTTCCACTTACACGATGCATAAATCACACCAATAATAGTGTGTATTATTTGTTTGGCTCTTGCATCAATGAGAAAGTGGGAGAGCTGCACTCTCATGTGTGAAACCAAATTGCCACAATAGTAGCTCTTCCTGATCATCAATTTTATGACATCAAGGGTTATTCTGAGTAACCAAAAAAAAAACAAGTCTGAAGCCTTTGAAGAAAGAATTTTATGTGATTAATGAATTTATGTGAAAGCACGACTCTCTGTTTCAGGTAAGAGCCGCAATGTGTCGCGCCACAGCCGTGGTTCATCTGGATTTGATTGTGGGGGTGTAAAGTCTCCAGACTATCCCACTCTTCCCATGACTCACTCCACTGAAGTTCTTCAGCAGCAGGCCAAGAAGGAACGCAAGTTCCTGAAGACTTTTCTGCCCCGGCCCATAAAGGGCTTCAGTCTGCGAAGCCTCGGCCTCAAGAAGGGCTCCAAAGCAGGACAGACCTCCCGCATACTGGTCAGCCGAAGCTGTGAGGAGTTAGACGGCCCCCAGGAGACCCCTGAGTCTTGGAAGCGCTCGCATTCTCTGGGGGATATACACTGGGAGCAGGCCTTCAATCAGAGGAAGAGTGAGAGTGAGGATAATGGCGGGCCGGAGAGCAACAAAAAGGAAGTACAAGCCGATCCTGTAGAATCAAAATTGGACCAGATCAGTAATAAGGCTGGAAGAGAGATGGGCTCACTGCAGAGACCTACAGTTCCCACACAGCTTCCTCTCAGTACAGTCAGTCCATTGCCTGCTACTCAGACATCGCATGGCCAACCAGTTTCTGCCACAACTAGCCCTGCTCCTCGGACTCACCCTAAAAAGCCACCCGTCCCACCTCCTGTGCCTGCTAAAAAGTCCAAAGAACGTCTGCGCCACCCTTCACTAGTGCTGTCCGGTTCAGTGCCAAATACACCAACCCTACCCCCAAAACCCATATTCACCCCAACCACTCCCTCCGAGAGCTCCCCATCAATGCCATTATCACCAGGTGAATCTCCAGCAGCTCTGAGTCCACCCTGGCTATCTGACCTACCTGAATCAGCATGTCCTCAGATCCACGGAGCTAAAGTTGCCCTCAGCAGGAAGATCTCCCATGCCAAAATGACCAACCTGGAGACTCTGCTGGAGGACCGGATGCGCTTGGAAGGCATTGACCTCACCGAAGAGCCGTACTCTGATAAAGTAAGTCATGATTTCACTTCAGATGAATCTAGTAGTTATGCTGTTGCCTACCACAATTTTTCAGGTAGGGTAGTAGTAGAGTCAATAGCATTCACAAAAATGAATTCCTTTGATAACTTTTTGGAATCATAAAATTGCATCATATGGCAGAGTTCCTCAAATCTGGCCCTAGAGAGCCACTGCCCTGCAGAGTTTAGCTCAAAGTCTGACCAAGCAAACCTTCCTGTAATTTTCTAGTAACTGTGAAGACCTTGATTAGCTTGCTCTCAGGTGTTTTTGATTGTGGTTGGAGCTAAACTCTTCAGGGCAGTGAAGAACTTTGAGGAACCCTTCAGTATAGCCTAATGGACTTAATGTTCATGTGACCGCAAGTTTGCATGAATTGCGTCATATGGTAAAAACGGTGTGGAAAATGGCAGCACTATAGCAGTTATAAAAAGGTTAGCAGACTAAACAGAAGCACAATGATTAACAGTAGGGGGCTTGACTCAACCATGCCACTGTTCCTGGAAAGTCATGGCTGGTGTATTTTTTCCTTCCATTTACTGCTGGAAGTTCTTTTGAAAGTGTCAAAAGAAATGGAAAGAAACATACATTTTAATCAGTGCTCATCTAAAGACTAATTTCTACTCATCAATTTCCATATAAGAAGATATTCCTATAGTATCTACACAGTAGGTCTCTGTTGGAGTCTGTACAATCAATCAACCTTCTTTTCTTTGGCTATTTTTAATTGCTAAATGCACGGCTTAGCACAGACATAACTATCACATATCCTGCATCCTTAAAAAGTCCTTTCAGTCATGACAGCAAAAGCAGTGGGAAAGTGGAAGGATTGGAAGACTTGCTTGAGAGCATCTTGAATCTGATATATCTTCTTGGGTCCTCGGTATGTAATGACCATGCTCATCATCAAACCAAATCTGATTCAAAGTCACTTTTGAGATTATCCAACACAAAAAAGGTGAATAAGAGGTGAAAAATGTCCCCTCCCTATAATGAAAACACTGGAACAGTTTGTGGTTTCAGACTGCCTGGAGTTTTAGTGCTTTTTATTGGCAGCCAGTCCTATTATGCCTGAACCCACAGCCTATCGGATGTACCCCAAATTGGGAATAAGAAATTGTTTGAATGACTTTGAGTAGATTTTGAATTAATCTCTCAGTGAACGAGATGCTTGTAAGTTAAAGCTGATGTGTGTGTAATGTAAATTAAATACTTTTTCCTCTCGCAGCTTGTTTGCTGTTCATTGTTTGATTTCCCTGAGGAGTGTAAACACTGTGGCTCTGTGGCACTATCAAAAAAACATTGCTCTGCTTGTGTAAGCTTTGTACTTGGATTGTTGATTATTTCACAAAGATTGGCCGAGTATTGCCCTTATTGAGCTAACTACAATAAAATACTGCTTGGTTTGCAATGAAGCCACATTGTATATTTGAGAGAAGATGGCTATTTGGCGTGCTAACAAAGACATGCTGAAAATGATTCATCTGGATCTTAGTTACGCCACACAGGGTGATGTTACCATTAGAGCACTGAATCTCACATTTAACAAACAATTTAGTCTTGCTCGCCTTGTAATTCTGTAACTGGCACATAAAGTTTGCTTGTTTGTGAGTCAACCTCTGTTTCCAAGAGTGCTTGGTCTCCACCAACCGTAAAGTCAATTAAAAAGCCACATGAAATAAACTTTATGATCTGATAATTTCTGTTCTTATTCAGAGTCCACAGTCTGAGACGAATTTTGTGCTGCTCACATTAGCTGGGCGCTAATCACGGCTTAGCTTGAAACAATACAGCATTAGCAAGGAAAATTCTCCTCATATTTTTAATATTTTGATGACTGAATTTGTGTGTCGGCCCGTGCAGGGTTTTAAGGTTGCTAGAGATGTTTTCCAATCGCTTAAACGAGGTGGCGAAATTCACTAGATCTTGTTTTCCTAGCTAATCTTTAATTTTCTCTCTGCGTTTCTCAGCACGGCCGCTGTGGTATTCCTCAGCTCTTCGTACAGAGGTACTCGGAGGACTTTCAGCAGCCAGTCAAGGATGTGGCGTCCAGTCTGGATCAGATCAGAGTTAAACAACTCCGCAAGGAGCACCGCATGGCTGTGAGTTGCTTTAGCAGATTCCGTGATTTAATTTAGCACATGCATGTGAGTCAGATTAGATCATAATTTACTACATTAGCACTGACATTTAGCCCTTTGTGTTTTCCTTTTCTCCACAGATTCCCTCGGGAGGCTTGACTGACATGTGTCGGAAGCCAGTGTCTCCTGTTCACGTGAGCACTGTGTCTGATTGGCTCGTGTCGATTGGAATGCCCATGTATTCTGCCCCTCTATTGGCTGCAGGCTTTGACACGCTGGATCATGTGTCGTCCTTAAACGAGGCGAAAGTGAGGGAAGCGGGCTTGAAGCAGGACCATCACATACGTATTCTTCTCAGTGAAGCCCAGCTAGTCACAGCCAGCAACTCAGGACAGTCATAATACTAACACGAGCTGTTATGAACGTGACTAAATGGATCAAACTTTGCTGGTGAAGGGACAGACCTGGACAACAGCTGCCGAATTTTCTCCCACCTTTCTGTCTTATAATCTCAGCCTTTTGGCAATTTCAGAAAAGACTGATCTGGCTTCTAAGGACTGTTATTGTAGGCCTTTCAACAGAAGTTTCCATAGAAGCATCTAGTTTTGGCCTGAAACATCTGCCTGTCGAAAGCAAGCACACTTTTTTCCTGAGAATTTATGCTTTTTTATGAATTTAAAGACTGTTCTGAATCCCTTTTTCAGGAAGTGTGAGATTTATTTAGGAAAAAAAACTGTAAAGGAAAATTTTTTTAGTGCTTATTGAAGCACTTGAGTATCAAGAGTATGTCACCTGGCCAAAGCAATGTCATTTCATGCAGGTTCGTTAATATAATATTACTTTTTCTCTCAAAGCATCCATGTGACGAGAGGGGCGGGGCCGAGAGCCGTGGGAACGGAGTGAGGCCGGGGGAGGAAATGCTAATGCGCGACACCTGCGCCACTCACCGGTCTCGAGTCCCACGGAGGAGCTCCGGAAGGATAAAAGGAGGAGTGACGACAGTGTTGGACGAGAGAGGACCAGGCCTGGACTTTATTTTGTGTTTTGTGTGCGGCAGTCGTCCGCGAGGGGCTGCCGCTTTACTTTCATTTTGTGTTTGTTTAGTTTATTAAAGTTTGTTTAAATGTTCGCCGGTTCCCGCCTCCTTCTTCCCGAACTACGAACTTTGTTACAATCCAGTATGCATATGAAAAGATGTGTACTGTCGGGTGAGTCATTCCCAAAAGCATGATGTTTCCTTATGGGGATATTCAGAGCAATGCACATTTTGATTTCAGGTCAATAGTTGGACACGGTTTTAGAAAATGTGTACTATGTTTGTACAAACTGTTTCATTTGTTTGTTTCTTCAAGGTAACATTTAAGCATCACTCCTTATAATCCACTTAATATAACATTGGATATTCACAGCATATTTAATCTTCCCAGTCTTCTAAACACACAATATTCAACATGCATCACATACTCGGCTGTTGCGGCATATCAAATTGTATTACTGTAACAGCTCTATCAATTTATGTTGCCTGTTATCTTGAAAATTATACTCCTGCATATCGTGTACCTCTTATCGTACTCCTCTCTGATGCAAATGATGCATCACACAGCTGTAATATGCTTGCTGGAGTGAAATGTGTACAGGTGTTTATTTTTGTTTTATTTTATTTTTCTTTTGTCCCAGATTGCCTTGCACTTTGACTGGGGTGTTGAAGACATAATCGCTCTTGAAAGCACACAGTCTTAGCCTTAAAATACAAGTAAATCAAATCGAAACTGACTACTCCTCTGACTAACTTAGAGGAGTGTTCTGACAGTAGTCACATATACAGACTGGTGCTTTACCCATGAGTTAAAAGTGTTCAAAATTGGGAAGAAAGATCCATGAAGCATTATTTATTTTGTCATTCAGAACACAATGCAAATGGCATGCGTTTGTGTGTTTCAGGGAAAATAAAGTGTTGTGGACAACTTTTTCTTGCACACATCTGGTGATTCTGTCACCAAAGACAGACAGCATCTGGCAGACTCACTCTTTAATGAAAACTGAGTGTGAAGTACAACATTAGCTGACGTCTGTTAGTTACGTCACTTAGGCATTAACATGACGTCTTCACTGCTCACAGATTTAAAGCATTCCATCACTCTGAATTAAGCACAATGAAGCGTGTTTCTCCCACAATCACTCTCAGGCTGGTTTTGATTGAGCGACTGAGTTGAAAACTCAACTCCTTTCAGTACATGTAGTTGCTTCTACATATCTTTTGGTTTTCCAGTTACGAAAAGACACCGCTTATGTTTCCCCAAGGACTTGCAGTTTTAGGAAACGGTGTCTTTTTGAAAGCTTGCTTCAGAATTGTATTTCTTCCTCATGCCATTTATTCTTTTGTATCTTACCCAGCACAATTTATAGACCGTAATGCTCAAGGATTTAATTAATATTTTAAGCAGTAGAGAATCGATAGATTCCTTTGTATCAGGATGGATGCTTTCAGTTGAGTGCTTTGATAACAATAAGGCTTTTTATGTGATTAAAATCGAAACTATATCTCATGAAATGTTACTGTAAAAATGCACTTTATTAAAGAATGAAAGTTCTTTTTTAATTCCATTGTGGAGAAAATGAGATTACAAATTGACACATTTACAGTTTTTTTAAGAAGTTTGTTTTCAGGTCAGATGTTGATGGTTGAGGTGGACTGTTTAAATATCAAATCTCTGTTAAAAAAAATTATAATCACTTGTTGATTCATTACAGAACTAACCATGACCAGTTAATTATTTCAACTTAAATGCTATAAAACTGGGTCTTAATTACATATATGAAATGATTAACTGAGGTTGCACATTCTGTATATGTAATTGATATTTAAATAACTTATTTTTGCATTTACATCAAATGTAATTATTAGCTGTACTATACATCATAAAGCAATACTCTTTCACCTATAGTTAGTTAGTGATCAGTGACCATTGTAAAATATATGTATAAAAATGATTTTATCTGGTTTAAGTTCGCTAATGATTGTCTATAAAGGTTGCTTGTGTATTTACAAACAAAAATGTCTTAAAATATTTGTCCCTTTGAGGTGTAATAAAAAAAAAAAAAGAATATCCTACACTGACTGCTCTCCCATACTCTGTATTTTCAGCTATTATGCCAGTCTTCGGTGTCATGCGATCCTTCAGAAATCATTATAATATTCTGATTTGGTGCTCAAGAAACATTATTATCAGCATTCAAGGACAGCATTCATAAGACTATAAATTTCTTTCAGGAAAAACAAAACAAACAAACAAAAAAAAACTGTAGTGTACACTTTTGAACTGTAGTGTATATTATTTTTCAGCCTGTCTGAGATCAGTGTCCTTAGGTGGTACTTTTATACAAAATGCTGACAGTCATGTCAATGACACAACCCCATTGATCTTTTTTTGTTTTGTTTTTTTACTTTATCTTCATTTTCAACTTTATCTTCAAAAAGAAAAAAAAAAACTCAAGGCCTTCAAAATGATGTACGAATACATACCCATAACACATATATTTGATGCCTTATTGCATCAGTAAAGATAGTCATCTACACTGAAGTGACTCTAAATTTCTCTTGCCACTAGTATCAGCAGTACTGTATGCAAATAAACATCCTAATATCCTAATAATGAGAACAAATTAGGAGACATACTATTATAATTTTTTATTTTTTTTTACTTTCTTCTTTGATTCTTTGATTAATTACAAAACCCTCAGGAAAATATATATCCAAAATGGAGAGACGACAACAAACACAGCTTGAAGCTAAAAAGGAGGCCTATTTTTCCCTTGTTCAACTCTGATTTGGCAAACACCAGACATGATTATATTCCCAGTGGGTTAAATAAAGACATTATGTCATTTGATTTAGAATGCCTCAGTGAAATAAAAGATATTGTGTTGCACTATAAATGAAACCATTGTGAGGCAGACTGCTTTTATCATTCTAACACTTACTCACTTACATGGCTGAAAGAGTCAGATTTAGTTTTGCTAGTTCAAATAGTCAAAAACTGCTCAGTCATGAACTTGACACTTGGCTGAATATTTGTTTCATTAAAATTGTTTCTATATTTGCTGTGGTCCTTATTGCCCTTTGTTTCAGAACAACAGTATGTCTTGGAAATCTGGTTCCAAAAGCACAGCTGTTTTTACACTGTGTAGAAAGATAGATAGATAGATAGGGAATACACTGAGATAAATATTGCACAATTATTTGTTGATCTTTCTTATGAAATATGTATTTTTTATTAAAAATATATGCATTAGTTAAGAACCAGAATCTGAAAATCATATTGAGATATCTGTAATACTTTTTTAGTTACAGACATGCAAACTTTGGAAAAAGAATATTAATGGCACTCAGACAGGTATGTTCTATACAATTATTTTGATATAGGGAAACAAGATGCATTTCTAGTTTCAACATTATTTGTTCTTCAGACCTTCCTCTTTA